AAGATGTAACTGTGTAGCATGGGAATAGCTGACTGATGAAAACCTCTTCCTGCTCAGCTTGCTCGAATAAATGACACTGAACTGCTCTGAATGGACCCTCTAGGTCAGAAGTGTTTCTGTCTGGTGTAGTGTCTGCTTCTTCTACTACTCTCTCTGAATGTCAAGAGGAAAATTCCTCCAAAAGGTATTCAGACTGTTGCAGCTGGGCTGCCCCTCCCTGTTGTTCACAGATACTGGGGATGCTAAGATGAGGAGAATGACAGACTATCTATGACTTTCTGTTGTAGACTGGTTTTGTTTGCAAATCCTGCAGCCTGTATGGGACAGCCCAATCCTCACATTTAGTTCCTCAGCTCTTGTTTCTATGTTTGCAATGTAAAATCACCACCTCTTTTTTCCTGGAAATCAAAGACCCTCTGCAGTTTCTTCCGAGCTGGAATTTTCCTATGCTCTAGACACATATTTTCCTCTGCCAACTCTCAGCCACTCCAGCAAATGACTCCTATGTAGCTCTGCAGCTGATTTTATGAACTGTCAATGAGCCCCCCATGCATCTGCTCTCTTCCTTGCCTCTGCTCATGTTCAGTTGAAATGCCTCAGCATTCTGTATCTTCTGAGTTCACTGTATTGATGGATCAGTGTCCCCAGACATGCAGCACAGATCAAGAGTGTGGGGAGCTGAGAGACTCTTTTTTGATTTGGTTAGCTCTAGCTCTATGCTTTCAGGCTGGAGCAAGATCTGCTGTATTGAAGGACAGGGCAACACTAACCAAGCAAAGAGTTTTCTGGTTTGTGGAGCTATGTGAAAAGTTGGCAAAAAAATCTAAAAGGAGGGCTATCAAAGAATTGACTGCAACCATCTTAAATGCTCTAAGTTGTTTGTGACTAACGCTGAGTTTGCTTTTACCTGAAAGTTTAGAGACTTGGCCTGGTCTGAGTACAAGTGGCTGAAACATGGAAAAAGTCAGCTGCAAAAAGGCAGGATGGTAAACAACAAAGAAGATGTTGAAATTTGAATCCCCGTGTCCGTGTTGTGATGTATACCAAAATAACAACACCTTTCAGAATCCAGTCTTTCTCTTTATCCATGAAAAATTCCAGATCTACCTTCAGTGTTATCCCAAGCTGAATTTATGTGGGCATATGAGAGATCCGAGTAAAATTTAACTAAGTTGAAGATGCAGCAAAGGCAAATACTAACTGTTTGCTTTTCATGGCTAATTCCTCAACTTTTCTCAGGTAAAATGTGAGTTCCCAATTGCCTAGTCTCTGATTGCTCTGCCTGGATAATCTGAAACAACTTCCTACAGACAGACCTATGCATCATTGCCTGCCACTCACAAAAACACACTGGGTCTGTTGCAAAACTAATAGGAATTTGTCGTGAATTTGCATTCAGTTGCATTGTGCTGTGACTAGGCTGGTATACACAGATCCCAGACAGATAACCTCCCACACACACACCTTTATAGCAGTGCTTATTTCTCAAGTTTTGATGAGTCTTGTCCTTTATTGTTACAGTACTGTTATGTATTCAGCAGCTCTGAACTGAGTCCTGCTGAAGCCAGCAGGTTTCTATTAGGATCACAAGGAATGTAGTGGTACAGTTGACTAGTATAAACATATTCAGTATCAACTCTGCTAGCTCAGCCTACTCGCTTCCTCTCCTTGTTAGTTAGTGGGGTGGTCTGACTGCTACTGATTTTCCAAGATATATATGCTTATCTTAAGTTCTCCCTGAGTTTTCTGTTTGGGGGTTTTGTGGGCTTTTTCGCTTCTTTTGGTGGTTGTTTTGGTTTTTTAATCCCTTATCTCAACCTGAATGATGTTACTAAACTTCTGTGAGATGGACCAAGCATGTGTGCACGCATACACAGAGGAAGCAAGTGTGAGATGACATTTGGCTTTCCTGACCCATTGAAATTACTACAATGTGAATGTAAAGACTTTTAAAGGAAAAATCTTGAGTACAGCTGCTTCAGTACTCTGTGCTTTTTTTCATGAAGAAAGAACAACATGTATTTGTCTCGTATTGCTGTGATGACACCCAGTCACAGGTTGGCGAGAGAGGTAGTTGTTCTTGGCTTTTACCCAGGGAGGACACCTGCTCTGAATCAACGCTGCCCCACTGGTCAGCCCCAGCCAGGTATGCACTGCATGGGGTATCTCTGGACACTACACCTACTCCACAGGCCCTTAGCTATTTCTAGGAGGTCTTTATAGGTTGTATTCCACTTGTGCTCCTTCTAATTTCACCAACTCGACCTGAACTTGGGATCCTGCCCGCTTAGGGAGAAACTACAGCTGAAAATATCCCAAATCAGGAGGAAACTACTGGTCATCAGTCTTCCCAGTCTTCTGTCCCACCCAGCTCTTTTCCCCTTCCTTGGGGCTTGGGAAAATGTGAAGGCCATTTCTAAGATGCCTCTGAAGTAAGGAGGCTTGTGTAGCAGACTGAGAAAAGAAGACAAAGGAGTGGGAGGATGGGAGAGCTGCTGCATCATGAAGAAATGTTTTATATATGCAATAACAGCCACCCTTCACCACAGCTTTGCTTTCATTTTGTGAGAGACTGCTCTGCAAGTGTACATTAAGGCCTGTTTGGCCTGAGATTTCCATTCCTGACACTTCTGACTATACACCAAGGCTAAAAGAGCACAAATTGGTGCCAAGGACCAAGGTGGGGATCCAGTGGCAGGAGTATATACATGCCAGCACTAGGTATAGGATGGGAAAAGAGAAAGGAAAACTAGTCTGTGGGCTCAAAAATAGAGGAGGTGGAAGTCAACTGAAATGCCAGAGGGAAGAACATAGCATAGGAGATTGTGCAGGCTGAGGAGAGATTAACAGGTATTAGAACAAAGCAAAAGACATGGGGAGAATTCAGATCAATGCTGAGGCGAGCAGCAAGGAGCATGACAAAGTTAAGCACCGAGGGCAAGGTATGAATAAGCAGGCAGACCTGAGAAGCTGTAAGGGCAGCATGGAGAAAAACCTTAAAATCCAGAAATGGGAAGAGGTTGCTAAATATATCAACAAATATCTAAAATAATAATACTTTCCAAATCAGAAATAAAAATTTTGTTTAATTTGATGTTAGAAAGCCATACATAAACTAAGCAATGGTAGTGTAAGAATAATTTTATTTAGTATTTTGGTAACACAATGATACATCTCCGAATGACCATAGAAGTTAGCTCACTAAACTGCATACATTCTAAATAGGTGCTACTAAATTTGAGTATCTTCAAAGATTACAAAAGGCATTTATTTGACCAAAAGCTATATAGTGTGTAACCGCCTGACTGACATGAGCAGTGTGTATGGATGTTGCATTAGTAGCCAATGCAAAGTTAAAGCTTTTGGAAGAGTATCAAATTGTAGAAGCTGTTTTTACTAAAATATGAATTTGTGATCCTTGCATTAGAATAACTATTCAATTGTAGGTTACATCCTTTATTTTTTTTTAATATCAATACTTACAAAGGTACAAGAGAAATTGTCTTGCTAGCATTTGATCTAATGTAGATCTCCATAGGAAAATCCTAAGTATCTTAAAAGCTTTTCACAGATATAGGCTAAGTTCTGGGATATCACAAACTTGTACATAATTCAGAAAAACACCTGAGGTTACTCCTTGTGTATGTAGCAGAAAGCTTTTTTTAACTATAAAAAAAAGATGATAGATGCCATATGAAGTCAGAGACTTTAAGCAGGTACATTACTCTGTGGGGTTACAGAGCAGTACTTTTAGGCTTGACTCAGGTTTTTAAAATCAGTAGTGAAGCTAAGATCTGGATTGTGTCATTAACCTAGCTCTTCCCAATGTTAGTATGAGTTCAGTCACTGCTGCCAACGTGACTAAGACTGGCCATCTATTAAAAGACACAGTGCAAATCCTTACTTGCTTAGCAGAGCTACTTTACTGTGTAGCATTGTACCCTTATTTTTCTAGCCCTATTAATACCTTATTTAGTACTCAGCTGAACATAGCAAGTCACGTGAGGTACTCTCATTTCAGATTGATTTCATATGTAATTGAAGGTGATTTGCAATGCCTGCCCAACACTTTTCAAATCAGGCATATACATTGGATTGTTTGCTTTTTAGAGAAATATGTGCAGCTTTGTGTATACAAATATTAGCCAGAGGTTTAAGGCTATAAAGTTTCACACGTTTTTTACTTTCAAATAATAGGTTAGGTGGTTTTTTAAAATTTTATGAACTTTGCCTCACTAATATTTTAAAAGTACTCTTTCTTCAGTTAATGGGTACATTAATTAGGACATGTAACGCTACATTTCCTTCTGAGACTTTGTTCCAAGCCAAGTGTACTAAAAGTACACAGTTAATTTTCAGATATACCATTTAACTAAACCTACTAGAATGACTAGTGAACACGGGTTTTATTTGCTGTATGCTTTACTTGAGACTTGTGGTATGAATGTTTGAATATAAACCCCCCATATTCTCACCTCTAAATTCTTTGGCCAATGTGGTTTTTACTGGACTTATGTGCTTATTATGTGATACTCTTTCCTAGATAAATAAAAAGTTCAACTATACTTTTATCAATCTAATTCAAATATCTATTTTGTTCATGAACATGCTAATGAACATATTAGCATATGATTTGTATCTCACTTGCCATTCAGTGGCATAGAAATTCTGATCTTTCAAAACTTAGTGAAAAGTTACTGTAGTAGGACATTCTGTTCATGTTCATATAAAACATAAATTTTATTTTCAACTGTGCTTATAAGGAAGGCTTTTATTTTTTTAGTCATTAATGTAAACACTTTGGAATGCTGAAGGCTAGACATTACATTGTCATTTTACCAAAAATCACTTGAACACTTATTATTGAGGCATTAATGGACATCCCAGCAGTCACAACAGAGGAGCATGGCAGTTTCCAGTAAAGGGAATTCAGAGGCAGGCTGCAGTGTTCTAAACAACCCTTTTTTTTTTTAATTTTTCTTTTCCTTTTTTTTTAATAAGAAATTTCACTTTGGGATGCGGAGTCACTGAAGGCAAACCTAGAGTTAAGGCATAGCACATGGAGAAATAGCAAGGATTGTAGAGAGAGTTCCTGGAGGTGCCCCAACCAGTCAGTAGATAAAAAGCACTTTACAATGGCAACTTCTGTGAACAAGCTAGAAAAGAAAAGGTTTACTTTCAAATTGCATATGTTTTATTATTTAATATATTAAATTGTTCCCCTGGCTCTCCTTCTAGAACTAAAAAGAGGACTGAATTATACCTTGTGCAGCTTTCCTTCCTGCTCTTACAACTTGTAATATTGGCTATGTTCCAAAAAGATCACCAGAACAAACTGTAAGTCATATAAGTCTAAAAAGAGAAAGAGGGATTATCTGTAGATGCAAGGTTTATTGTTTAGGCATTTGCTGACAGCTGATTTTCATTGGCTACTTTCTCTGCTTGCAGTCTTTGGACAGCCTGATCAAGCAAATCCATAGTATCTCTCAGTGTAACATTCAAGGTAAATGGCTTAGGTTTAATGGTCAGCCCATAGGTAAAGTCCATTTTAGGGTCCTCATTTGGATTAGCAGTAAAATTGCACTGATGCACCAGTATAGAGGTAAAGAGAAAGAGCTGCACCTTGGATAACTCCTCTCCAATACACCGACGTTTTCCTAACGAGAAAATCATCACACTACTAGTAAGATCTTTATTGATGAATCCATTCTCATCCAGGAATCTTGTTGGATCAAAATCCTCAGGGTTGGACCATTTTGCTGGATCATGATTCACTGACCACTGATTTACAAAAATGACAGTGTCCTTGGGAATGAGGTAGCCCATTATGAAGGTGTTGGTCGTGGTGGCATGTGGGATAGTAACAGGCACAAAGCTGCTGAAACGCATGGATTCGTACAAGAAAGCCATGATGTAGGGCAAGTGAGGCTGATCTTCAACACATGGCAGACGGTCTCTTCCGACAATCCTATCCACTTCTTCTTGCATTTTAGCCTGCACTTTCGGATACCTGTCATTTAAAGCAAGATGTGTCTATGTACATAACACGTTCAAAGGATTTTCTTACAAATAATTCTCGCTGTAAACATTTTTCACAGATCTTAACCCCTACCCTAAATAATGAAGTTTGAACAAAGTTTAAATATATTACAGGAACATGCAGACCTCAATGGAAAACTTTGAGAGAAAAATCCAAACTTCCCATCCAATGGTGTAATTTCAGATTTGCTCAGTTTTCACTTTAATATCACACGTAACTGATTCTCAACATAAAAAGTGAACCTAACCTAAAGTGTGCTTAAACTGAATATTTTGATCCAATTTTGAAAATTCATTCTAAAACTAAAATTACTTGTGTCTTCTAAGTATTGTGTTTTCCATGGGTATGAGAGTTTTGTTTTCCAGCTCTTTATGTGACTTTTAAAAGTTAACATGGAGTTTGATATTACTAGACATATTGCGTACATATGATAGCCTGTGGGTTTTTAAACTGAAAAAAAAAATCCCAATTGTTAAATTGTCAGAATGGCTTTATGATCATCCCACTTTAAGTTTGAGTACACTTTTTTCTAATTAATATCAAAATATAGTTTCGTTATAATATATTTTAAGAAGACTGTCTTGAAATCTGGACAGTTTGGAAGACTACACAGTAACCAAACAAGATCAAAATGTTAATACATCTTCTGCTTGTCTAAAAGCATGCACTCCTCCCAGGAGCCTTTATTTGCTTTAAGTATACAAGTTTGGCTTCTCCATCCTTGCCTTTTCCTCCTGCAGCAGATCTGCATGTTAAATGCTGGGCAAACATAAGAAATGGGGAGAAACCCAAAAGTTATGTGAACACTGGGCATCACACCCTTAGCTTGAAGTCAAATATTTGCCTGTTTTTCATGAAGCGACTGAGTAGATAATGTTTGCACAAGCCCACAAATTATGCAGGTGATGAAAAAAAAAAAAAAAAAGCCAGTCTCGTGGCGCCTTCTATTAAACCACGTCCCCTAGCAGAGTTTTCCCCCTGGAAGTGCTGGTGCCAGGGCAGTGCACCCGCCGGCTGCCCAAGGGGTCTGCCTTCCCCAGTCACGCAATGGCAAGGAAGGCACACGCAATGGCAGATCAACATAATAGCGGGTTTTGTAAACCGGTGCACGAACTCTTTATCGTGCTTAATCAGTTGTTATCCTGTTCCTATGATCTCCTTGATCTTGACCTGGTAAAATCTGTTACTTTCAGGTTTTATTCGGCTGCCTTTCTGCCAGCCTCGCTTTATGCCCGACGGCCTGAATAGGGTGGGTTTGTGTCGGATTTTATTTTTTTTTTATATTTTCTTATCTCTTTCTGGCAGCTTTCCCAGAGCTTCCGTGTTAGTTAATCGGGACTCGCTAAGGCACCGGCACCGCACGGGCTGGCGCTGCCCGGTCCCGCAGACCCTCGACCCGCCGGCGGGTCCCCGGCGGCGTCGCGATCCCGGTGCTGCCCAGACCAGATGGTCCAGGCGCTGGCTCGGGCCAACCGCTCCCGCCTCAGGAGCCTTCCCAGGGGAGCGGTTTAAGCGGGGCTCCCCCGGGACTGCCGGGCGCTCGCACCGCGACGCCCCAGACGGGCTCCCGTGTCCCTCCCAAGGGTAGGTGGGGCGCCCCGCTGTGGTGCCACCTCCGCCAGCACCTACCTGATGAGAAAGATGAGGAGCCACTGCAGGGCCGTGGAGAGGGTGTCCTGGCTGGCGCCGAAGATGTCGGTGACGGTGGCGGGCACGTGCTCCAGCTGCAGCCGCGGCTGCTCCCGCTGCAGGTGGATGAAGGCGTCCATCATGTCGCGGGGGGCGGCCCCCGGGCGCAGGCTGCGCTGGTGCTGCAGGAACTTGCCGCGGACGAAGCCGTAAAAGTCGCGGTTGAGGTCGCGGAAGGCGCGGTAGGCGGCGCGGATGGGGCTGGGGAAGCGCTGGAGCCAGGGCAGCGCGTCCACCAGGCTGCCGGCGCCCACCGCCCGCCCGAACTGCTCGTTGCGCCCCACGATGCGCAGGAACTCGCCGTCGCCGTGGCTGTAGCGGCGGCCGAAGCACAGGGCGCTCATCACGTTGGCCACGGCCACCACCAGGACGCGCGAGGGGTCGAGGAAGGCGCCGCCGGCGCTGCCCCGCACCAGCAGCGCCACCAGAGCCCGCGCCTCGCCCACCAGGTGCCGCTCGAGCAGGCGGCGGGTGGCGGGGCTGCCCGTGGAGAAGGCGCGCACCGTGGCGTGCGCCGCCCGCCGGTGCAGCTTCCACAGCTCCGAGTAGCCGCCGAAGGCCAGGCTGAGCCCGCCCGACACCAGCTGGAAGGACGGGAAGGGCGGGCGGCCGGCGAAGGCGGCCCCCTGGCGGACGAGGGCCTGGCGGATGGCGCGCTCCCCGTTCAGCACCACCACGGGCCAGCGCCCCAGGCGCAGCTGGAACACGGCGCCGTAGGTGCTGGCCAGGCGGGCGAAGGAGAGGTGCGGAGCGCTGCCCAGCTGCGCCGCGTTGCCGATCAGGGGCCAGGGGAAAGGGCCCGGCGGCGCCCGGCTCTGGCCCTGCCGCCGGCGCTGCTGCTGCTGCAGGAGGAACTTGCCCAGTTGGATGGCGGCGAGCAGGCAGAGCAGAAGCAGGAGGGACCTTTGCAAGGGGGGGATGCTGCCCAGGGCTTCCCCGAGCCTTTCGAGGGCCATGCTGCAAGGGAAGGGGAAAGGTCAGCGGGCAGCGTCCCCGCAGGAGGGCTGGGAGGCTTCCCGTCGCCCGCGGGCAAGGGGAAGCCCGGACGGGGCGCGCTGGCGTGGCGGAGGGGAGCGCCGGCAGCCGTCCAGGTGCTCGGAGTTGAGCTGCGTCCTCGCTGTGAGCTCCTCGTGTGCCTAAAGCCCGCCCAGATCTTGTGCGAAAAACAAGGGATAATGGACAACGAAGTGGCAAGCGCTCAATAAGGAATCGAAGTCATATTTGGCGGCGAGGCCGCTATTCTCTCCCCCCCGCCACCCCGGACAGGGAAAGTTCGCAGCGAGGGATCCAACAGGTCACAGCTGAGAGAGGCAGAGAGGAAGGCAGGAGGATGCTCTCGCCTGCCGAGCCTCCGCAGACGCTGGCAGGCGCTGCACATGGCTCCCCCCGGCGAAAGAACCACTGTGAGAAACGGGTTACCCGCCCTGCCATCGGAGCTTCTCTCTGCTCTGGAGAGGAAACCTCCGCGGCGGTCACGGAGCCCACTCCATCCCGAGCCCTTACCTCCTCCCGGACCTTCGTGCCCGTCGCGGCAGCGCAGGCTGGCGGTCGGCCGCCCCGGGGATGGGCTGCGGAGGATGCCTGAGACTCGGCGTGGCAGCGCTGACTGGTCCCGCTTCCCATCCCCGTGCCCGGGGACCGCCCGCTCCTACCGTTTGCTCCAGCCTTTCAGAAGCAGCGCGGGGAAGAAGGAGTGAAATAAACGGCCACCTCGGGCTCCTGTAGCAGAACTGACCTGTTGCACGCTGCTTCCATTGGAGACCTTGGGGAGGATGGAGAGAAGCTGGGCAGCCGGCGGCAGCCCTGGGACGAGAGTGGCGACGGCGGCGTTCAGATCCAAGCCTTTGGGAAATTCATTAGGAGCCCCGGTACCTGTCACCCGGAGCTTGGCAGGTCACGTGCAGGCAAATGCCAATTGCACCCCATCCCAGCGCAGAGTTATTATCACCTTCCCAGCGTTTTAACCCTCCGGAGCTCGTCCCACCGGCAGCCACCCGCCCGGTGCAGCCCCGGGGGCCGGGTGCGAGCGGGGCTGCTGCCGCCCCCTCCCTCTCTCCCTCCCGCCCGCCTGCTGGGCTGCGGGGAACGGGACGGGGCCAGCCCAACCCGCTGCAGGGAGCGAAGGCGAGCAGCTCAGAGGGCGCGGGGGGGACGGCCCGCTGCTCCCAGACTGAGCCGGAGCCGAAGCCGCCGCCTCTGGGCGTCTGGCATTGGCACTCCCGGTTTTAAACCCGCCGGCATCCGCGGTGCGGTACGGTGCGGGCGGGACGCGGGCGGCCCCACTGGCAAATCGCCGCTGCCTGGCCCGTCCCCTGGCTTGAGGGGTCGTAGCTATTTGCCAGCTGCCCTTGGGCCTTAGCCAAGTGGAGCGGCTGAGTCGCGGACGCTTTTATAGCCGGGGCCAAAAGTTTTAGCGGAGGAGGTGCCGGGAGGGGAGCGGGGTGGCGGGCGGGCTCGCAGCCCTCGCTGTCGGGAGGCGAAGTCTCGGCTGCATCTTAGGGGCTGAGGAAGCCGGAGAGCTTCCCCTCCTCCGCCTGTCGCCTCCCCGTTGCGTGCGGAGTTAGCATTGCGTGAGCCGGGGCTGGAAAGCCTCCAGCCATCTCCTCCCCGGGCCCCTACCCCTCCTCGCAATACCTGACACCGGCTCGAGGGGAATGAGGCTGGGAAGCGCCGGGCAGCTCGCCCCCCGGCCGGCCCCGCTGCCCTCCGGCCTCGCCCCCGCCCTGCACTCGCTGCTCTCCCACTTACTGCGCTTTTTCACTCTTAAATCTGGCGCCTCCGCCCGAACCGGGAGGGCTGGCGAGAGGCGAGCGGGTGAGGCGCTCCAAGCCCCCACGGGCCTTTCGGCGCCCCGGGGGAGCCGGGCTGTAAAACCCCCAGACATCAAGGAAATTGTTCCCCAAGAAATCAGAATGCTCTTGCTTTGTTGGCGTCATTTTTGCAGTATCAAGAAAAAAAACTGAAAATACAACATTTATTTCAACTGCTTTACAGTCACATCATGAGAAGAAAATACGATGTTTTGGTAGCATTTAGGGATTAGACAAAATTAGATGCTGGGAGTTAGCCCAGCTCAGTGTGTGAACCCAGTCCTGGACAGGCTGCTACTGCTTCTGTCTTAGCTAAGTGTAATCCTGGCTGTTGTCACCGTCCCAGGCTCTTCCAGTCGGTGATACTACCTGTTGCTCAGACTAGCATCGGCCATATCTCTCTGTGTGCCTTGGAGCTTCTTCCTGTCATTGGCAAGTGACAGAGGTGTCAAAACCACTTTTTCTGAGCAGTGATAGAAAAAGTGAGCTTCCCTCTTCCCAGCCCTACCTCTGGGGTGAGCTGGAAGGATCCTGCAGACATCTCAGCACATAGTCCAGTGTCAGAGAGGAGCAAAGACAGATCCATCTCTATGGCACTAAGGCTAAGGCAAGAGATACTTGGAGAGATACTAGGCTGTTTAAACTTATCAGAAGGTTTAAACCAAATTTCACAACGTATAACCACTCACCTGTGGAAAAGTGTCCTGTCCCACTGTGATGGCCTCCTTCATCTCTCTTATGTCAAAGAAGAGACATGGGCTTCTCCTGGCAAAGTGTTCTGGGCACTGGAACTGATCCAAGGTAAGGAATACCTTGGATCAGTTACCTGAGCTCTAGACTATAGTGCTGGGCGTTTGCCATTGCTAGCAGGGAAATTTGCCCCTTTCATGGTGACTGTGGTAATAAGTTGCCTAAACTCCAGGCATTACAGGTGTTGTTAGTAAGTCCCTAAATCCTTTCTTCGGTTCAGCAATTGAACTAGTTGTATTGCAGGGGATTGCTTCCTGGCTGCTAGCAGGCAGTACAGAGAAAGGAACATATTTCCACTATCACGGACCTGCAAACTCACAGTTTAAGGCATGAGCCCAGGAATTCTAATTTCTGGTACTTTTTTTTTTTAATGCTGTAAGAAAATATTAACTATTTTTTATTTCACTTCTCTTTCGTCTTCAGGAGTTTTGTCGCTATTAGACAGGAAAGAGAGAAAACCTATTTTAGATATTTTCTTCTATGGTGACAGTACCACCTGATCCCCCTCTACAATTTACGGTTTTAACTTACTATTGCTTTTATTACAACCTGAGTATTATTTTGACTGTACACAGTGAATGTTCATCCAATTTTCTAGGGTCTGATTCCATGTGACCTTGCTTAGTCCCTTGCAATCAAGCATAGCTTGAGTGAAGTGTTTTATCACACCAATGAATTAGTGTACAAAAATTAAGGCAATGGCTGATTTGGCTCTTGGTCTCTGCCATATTCCACAAATTGCCCTCCTGCCTACCTCTTTATTTATTCTTCTCACCTCTTTTGTTCATAGAAGTACAGAAGTTCAGAATTGCTCTTAAAGAATGCATGTTCTTTTTTTCTCAGTTCTGGGGACTTAATTGAGATGCAGGTCCTACTGAAGCCAGTCCCAAATTCCTGAGTCAGTTAGTTTTGTTAGGCACTGAAGACTGAATCACTGAAAATGTATGCCACCTAAAATGAATTATTTCTGAGGTCTAGAAAACCCTACTTGATGTAATATAGGGAAGAGAAAAGGAGTTGAAGGGCTACAAGTGAGTGAGTTTGGGATTAAGGGAAAGGAATTCAAGCTTCATCTCTTAAAAATCTTGATTGATTTGATAGGAATGACAGATGTAGGGGGCTGGCAGAGTTTATGGGGGCAGCAGTACCTCTGTGGCTCTGAATGAAGGTGCTTTGTGCATGTGGACAAGAGTCCTTGTGGAGGTAAAGGTTTGATAAAGGAGGACGAATTGCACAACCCGGAGAGTCTTCATTTGCCCTTCGAGAGGAAATTTTTGTCTCTGCCACAGTCCTCCCTTTTCCAAGAAAACTCCTCAACACATAAGAGACTTTTACAAGTGTTAAGAATTACTTACCTAAATAAGGCTTTGAAGATACATCTCAGTTTTGCTTCTAACTATGGCAGCCCTTGTCTTTGCTTTTGGATGCTGGTAAGATGCTCATAAGTCCTCATGAGCAGCAACTGGAATTTCTCAAAAACTTCACCTGATTCTGTTTTCTTTTCTTACCTCTTCCTTTTGCAGCTTTCCATGGAGAGCCCTCCACACTAGATTTCTCTGTCTCTTTTCCATACCTGGGACTTTGGGTCTTTTCTTCCTCTCTCTTAATTTTACAAAATCTTGAGGTGGATTATTTGACAGTTGAGCAATGTTTTCTCCTGGGATTGCTTCTGTGTAGAGCTTGTACAAATTGTTTACCATTTGTAGAGTGGTCCAAGCCATTCTTCAATAAATAATCCTTGGCAATAGTGTTACTGATTGTCTGTTTTTAAGTGTTGCACAATGCTATATAAGATGAAGAAACAAGTAGCATGACTGTAAAATACGAATCACTTGGAGACCTAGCCAAGTGCAATATCCTATTGTTTCAGGCTGCTTAAAATTGTACTGATGTACTTAGGCACCTCTAGAGTTCAACTCTTGTCTTGATAATACTGCTTTAAGTCAGGAAAATCACCACTAAAACAAGTAGATTACAATCAGAATCAGAACCTGTAAGCCTCTGTGTTTACAACAGCTTGCTCAGACTATGTTTATGTGGCAATCCAGCATGATGCAGAGTTACCATCGTCCTTCAAATAGTTTCAGATCCCGGAGCAGAAGGTCTGCACTCAGTCCAGCCACGGTACCACCTCAGTGCAGCTGGCTCCACAGTCACCACCTGTGCTTGCTACTCTGCACCATTTACATGTCCCTGCTTCCTCGAGCTTAGCTACAGGGTACTGAATTGCTCAGTGTTAAAACTAACCTGAGATGGGGATACCAGAAGGGTAGATGCTAGAGAGGTCGTGTCTGATGCAGGTTCCTGGTTTTGCTCAGTTTGGCAGCTTTTCTGTCCTGCCAAGCACGATATGTAAGCAAAATAGAAGTAACCACATCCTCGGTGCTACCCGGAGCATCAGGCATACATAGCTGGCCGCAGCTCCACAATTCAGGGTTATTTATTTAGGCCACTCACTGTGGCCTAAAATAAAGCATTTGTGGTATGTTTTTTAAAGCATATGTATTCGTGGTTACATATCACATTCTTAACCTTCATTAACTTGCAGCTTTCTTGGGACTTTCACTCTTCCCTGCATTCCTACTGACTTCTCAGCTTTTATTTTCAATTCTGCCTAGCTATTCAAAAGCCTAAATTGGGCTTCTAATTCTGAGCCAAATTCCCCCAGCTGCTGTGGGAAGGCAAGGAACCTCCCAGAACTTGCTGGGGCTCAGCTCAGCGCTAGACTGAATTGCACCCTCTCCATCTGTTTGCATTTTCCATGTTACTTACAAATTAAAGGCATATATTGTGTTCTGCTTCCATACAGGCAACACACAGGTATGATTACAGAAATGAGAACATAGCAATACACTTAATTCAGGCATCAAATTTGATTGTGAGACTTTTGATTTTGCATTGCCAAATTCCTGTCGTATTTTTCCCAAAGCTTGCTGTCTTTTCTTGACAGTATTAGATGAAACTGCATAGCTAAGTCTTTCTTAGAGCTGACAGTTTCGTGTCTACCTTTTGAGAAGCCTTTTTAAACTGCCTTCTGCCATGAGGCAAAAGAGCAAAATCTAATTTACACATTGCTCTTAAAATATTCTGAAAGAAGTACTCTGAAGAAGACGGATTAAATAACATTTAGGAAAGTTTAAACACTGCTCAAGGTATGCATTATTTTATCTGTCCTCGACATGTGATGTGTGGACAAACTGCTTTGCCTGCTCACTGTCTCTTTAGCAAAGGGACTCCCTGGGCAGCTCTGAATCCTCACACTGTTTCTGAGGCTTGCAGAACCAAGAGCTATGTTGCCAAAGTCCATCTTTATACTGAACTATAGAAATCTTATAGCCTGTAGATCACTCCAGAGCTTTAAATTAATAACATTGCTTGGGGCCAATATTGTTATCATGTTAACAAGTAGTATATTTCTC